TACAACTCTTGGCGAAGTGTTCCGCTTCGCCGCATCTCTGACAGTTTTTTGTTCAGTCGGGGCCCTTGAAAATTCGGGTCACGTGTCCATAGGCTAGGCACTTTTGACATCTTGTCACTTCTAAGTTCGTTCGGATGGATGCGTTTATCCAACAAATACGAACTTTGCCCAGCTTAAGCAGACTCTCGCTGTCCGTTTCACTCAAGCGTACTAGTGCCACTTTCGTACCACCAAAACGTGTCAGAAGTTGGCAAGTCACATCTAATTCGGGCTTTTGCAACTTCTTCTTTAAGACGGTTAAAACGTCCGCCTCTGAAGTTGTTTCGTCCAGTTCCCGAATTTCAAGGGTCTTTTTACTGACAAGAGCCGTAAACTCGCCCTTGTCCTGAAGGACGGAGGTAAAGTTCTCAGCGAACTTTGAAGTTTCACCCCCCTTTTTGACCACAACAAGAACCTCCTTTTTGAGAGTTCTTCTAATTTTCACAATCTCGGTGCCAGTTTCCTCTGGCTTTACCGAAGTTGTTGCCAGTTTTATAAGATCATAGTAGGTCTCTGGATTCCGGGCTGAAATTTTTATTGCCTCCGTGGTTCTAATTTTGGGGGGGCGTTTCTGAAGTCTCTCCCTCTCTTCTGCTTTCTTCAAGGCCTTTCTCTTACGGGCCTCCTGTTTCCTATTGGAGACGGTTTCAAAGTCTTTTTCGTTTTCAGGCTTATTTTCCACAGTTGCCTCCGAATAAGAAGCAACCCTGGCCGAAGCAGCCTTTCTCACCTCCGTCTCCATAGCAGTAGGGTTTGCCTTTGTCTCTTTGCTCTTAACCCTCTTGCCCTTGGGAGTGGTCACAGTATAATCAGTCTCCGGACCTTCAAACTCTCTAGGGCGCTTCCTTTGGTCGATGGACTTGCTCTCACTGGATGTGACGTGCGACATCGATCTAGGAGTTTCAGGATTCGACCTTGGTTTGCTTGGGCTAATGAAGGGCTTAGGTATAAAGCGCAGGTTACTGCGAAGCACCTCGTGCACCTTCCCCAATGCCACCATCCCATCCTGAACACCCTTGCTAATGTTTCTTTGCTTTTTGCAAGCACGCCACATACTTTCTAGTATTTTAGGGATCAGATCGACCTGTTCTAAAACATTTCCTTCGAATCTGCTAAGTCCCACATCCTCATAATTTTTGCTTTGGCTCCCTCCAAAATCCTTGGAGCCGTCTGCACCGACTACCGTGGCTTCAACCCGATCAGAATCGGTGGTGGGATTACCCTCTTCTGAGGTACCCACTTGGAGTAATTTTTTCAAATCTTTATCCATTTCACATTTTTTTATTCTTTGTCCCGTGTCGATGGACAATCGGGCCTTAACAGGGTACTACCATCTGGCCAGGATGGGCCCTGAACCACCTCCGTTAGTTACATAGATGTTATAGCATTGCCGGAGCATTGATGCGACGTCTATGACATCCAAGGGCACGTGAACATGTATGTTCGGACGTGGAGGTCGATGTGTCTTTCGAAGATAGCAGGAAGTTTCCGCAAAGGGAGTGCATCCTGGTATCTCTTCACAGAGTTTACCCTCAATAATAAAATAATTATTAAATTATTAAATTGTGAAAAATTTTATTAACCCTTCTGCGGTTCAAATAAATTTCTGAAATCCATTTCTGAAAATTCAAAATGACGGATCCAATATGGCGGAAATTTTTCAAAAATTTTTTATTTTTATTAAAAAAAATTTTTTTAATAACCGCCATATTGGATCCACTATTTTGAATTTTGAAAATCTGATGCCAGATTTGTAATCAGCGACCCCGAGAAACCCCCGAGTAATGATTTTCATAACCCAATTTCATAAACTTCTTGATTAAATGCACGTTATCCACTTATTAAATATTTTGTTTGTTTAATTATCTTTGTGTATTTGAAAACTTTATAAAGTTGATAGCGAAACATTTTTGAGTTGTTTACAACCAGTTTTCGGTTTTAATCAATTTCAGTAGTTTTAAAAAACTTTTTTTTTAATTATTCAGGTTAAATAAATTATTATGAAACCTATTTTTCTTCAAGATAGATGTATAAATTGAGCTGCTTAAGATCATTTTTCTAAAAGATAATATCCTATTTCAGCTTGAAGAACACACTTTAAAGTGCCTGGGTGTCGCACACCCAGTGTGCGGTTTAAGATTTAACTAACATTTAAAGTTATGTAACTTTGATAAAAAAAATTTTTTGAAATAAAATAAACCAAATATTTTTAAAAAGCTTTTATCATTAGCTTCAATTTTTACTTCAGATCTTTTAATTCCGATGTATTGTTGACAAGTTATAAAATATTTATTTACCCCGACTATACTCGGGGTTAACTGTTTTGACAGTCAATTTACCCCGAGTTTACTAGGGACAAACCGTAGGGAGGTTAAAAGGTTTGAAAAGAATTGAATTTCTATGAAAAATTTTGTTATTTATGAATATAATTGGATTTTTTGTTAATTTTTTTAATCATTGAATTCTTTCGCGAAATTTTATGAAAATACTAAATATTGAAAATAATTGCATTTCGAATATTTTTTTAAAATAATTAAATCTTTTTAAGGAATTTGATTATAATTTTTGAGAATAGTTTTTTATTTTTAGAATTCGCGAATTTAAAGTTATTGGAAATTCTAAAAAAACAGATATAGTATTTTTTTTATTTTCTAAAATTAAAAAAAAATTTTCTGTTTATTTCTAAAATTTTCTTAAATACATTTTTTGAGATCAGAATGTAAAAATACACTAGTATATTTATTTTTAGCTCATTAGATCAAATTATAAAGAAGTTAAAAAAACGATTTTTCAGAAATTTTTTAGTTTTTCCTTGACAACGCTATGGCCATTATTACATAGCATTTTGTTTAACTCAACCAACAAATAGAAAAATTGATTTTGAAAATGGGAGGAGTTTATTTATTATTTTTAATGGTCTAAATCATCCATTTTTTCTTTGGGGGTTGGTATTATATATGTTTTATTTTTTAAATATTAATTTCACTCAACTAACAAATTAAAAATTGCATTTTGAAAATAGGAGGAGTTTATTTTTATTGGCCAGACATCTTTTTTTTAATGGGTTAAGACTAAATGTAACTTTTTAAAAATTAAATATTCACTCCCTTTTTGTAATGTTGAACCAACGAATAAAAAGTTGCTTTTTTAAAGTAGGAGGAGTTAGAATCTCATTTTAATTGGTCTAAAAAGTAAATTTTCTAGTAATTTTAGAAAAATGGGAAAAAATTGCATATTATATCTTTCTTAGTATAATTATTTATTTTCTGCCTTCTGCCCTTTTATGAACATTAACAATTATTATTAATAATTAATTTTACCACAAATCCCACATTGGTGACCCCGACGTGATCCAAAGCACGCGGGGTGAAATCGCGAAATATCTTCGTAATCGCGACCAATAAAAAAAGTGAAGTGACTCTATCGGGCTTTTAAAAAATCACGGAACATAGTGCCGTGAAAATTTTGGTAAAAAAAGTTAAATTGAACTGGATTTTTGTGTGTGGCTTTCGGAGCACGTGCTGGCACGTGGGGACGCCACGCCATTGCAGTACATTGGAGACGGCATCACGATATCCAGCAGTGACTGGCAACAAGAATTCAATAAGAATAATTTTTATATCAGTCCTTAAATCAATTTAAATTTTTTTTTCTATTACATTGTTTTTATTATAAAAAAAGTTATTTTCCGCCTTGTGCGAGTACTTATAAATTATTAAACCTACAGTGGTCTCGACAAACGAGGACAATTGGGGGAGAATTTTGGACCCCAACACTCCTCAACGGATTGTTTGTTTTTAATTTTTTTTTAACTCTCGTCCGACTTCATTGAAGCCAGCAATCATCCGCAGGATCGACGAGAGAGGTTCCTGTCAAAAAGTCTTGTTTGCGGACTCCTGGTGAGCAGCAGGTGACATTTTTTTTACATAAGGCTCTGGAAAACGGCGCATGGGCAGAACATTCTTGCCCATGCAACAGGTGTGTGTCGCTTTTTATAACATAACCTAGCAGTAACAGTTTTCCTCCGTCTGAGAGTTATCCTTTTTTTTCATGCTTCCTGACTGTTGATGACAACCGCTGAGGGAAACGCTTCCGTTTTCAAGGCCAACTACCAACGAGCCAGGTCGAGGGAAAATTAAACTAACTTATTCAGGGATCCTATACATTCAAGGGATAGAGAGCAGAGGTTCATCAAGGTCATCACTCGTTTTGTGTCGGTTAAAATTTTGTAAGTCAATAGTAATTGTGGTCCCGACCTTCTCCGGAATGACTGTGAGAATAATGAGTGATTTTGAAAACAATAATATTTAATTTTTATATTCCTTCAATTTTGAAAAATTTTCAATATAGTTAAATTTAAAAATTTTCTTCAAGATTGTAAAAATTTCAATATCTTAATTTTTAAATTCCACAATTTTAATTCTATACAATAATAATACTGATTTTTTTTATATGCACTCTCTCTCTATTATTTGTTTTCTTTAAAAAAAAAAAAAGAAAATTTTTTTTTATTTGTTTGATTCTTAGTAAATCATTTTTGACAGGGATTTTTTATTTTATTTCTGTTCTTATCAGTGTCTTGTGTGTTATTTAGTTATTTTAATTTTGACACACCAAATTTGAAACGGAGTGATTGTTTATTTAGCAGTACATTGCTCATACATTGCTTACATATGCGATAAATAGTCTAACGAATAATATTATCAATCTAAATTTTTTTCTATTGGAAATACTTTTTTTAAAAAAAAGATACTTGTGGGGTTTACTTCACAAACATTATCGTCAGAGTAATCAATTATTTACATTTAATTTAAATTTACCAAATTTGCTTGTGATAAAACAAGGATTTTTCTTTTATGTGAGAAGTGTTAAAACTGGTATTCGCCTTTTTATTTCTTTATCATATTAACAGCGCGTCTTTATAGAGATTGTTTTTTTTTCAATTTTCTTTTTTTTCAAAAATGACGAGTCCAACGAGCGACGAGTTCGTGACTGATGATGATTCCGATCGAGAGGGGGGGGACGGCGTTGCCCTCGGTTCGAGACGGAACAATCGGTTCAGACCATTACTGAAATTACCCGGGTTTTATCACAAGGAGCCGAGCGTGTGGTTCGCACAAGTCGAACTTTTATTTAATTATGCGAGAGTAAATTCGGAGAGAGCTAAAGCAGGCGCGGTGTTGGCCGTGTTAGATTTCGAAACCGTGATGACACTTAGCGACTTAATCACCCTCGAAACACCTCCAGCCGATATCTACAAACAAATCAAAATCAGGTTAATTTCTAATTTTTCCGTTTCCTCAGAAGCGCGATTACGTCAATTATTAAAAGGAGAATTATCGGAAGAAGGAAAACCATCGTTGATTTTGAATCGCATTAGAGCTCTAAGTCAAGGTAAATGTAGTGACGAAATAATTAAAACCGTGTTCGTGGATCATTTACCCGCAAATTGTCGCGCAGCTCTCGCTTTAATGGAAACAACAGATATTGATAAATTGGCCGAACTTGCTGACCGCTTCGTGGAAGCTTCGGGCCCAAACTGCACTCAGCAAGTAGCCACGGTTTCATCAGAAAACGTTCAGGAAAAAATGATGAAATTAATCGAAGATTTGTCCGCCAGGGTTAACGCGATCTCAGATTCGAATAGATTTCGTTCTCCTCAGCGCTCGTCTAATTATAAGAATCAATATAGAAGTAAATCTGCAAATAATAGAAAACCCAAGAATAATAATTTTAATCGAAACATGAACGGTAAAGGTCAAAACAATTCGAACAATAATGATAATAGGAATAGTTCTTTATGTTTCTACCACGCTAAATTCGGGGATAAGGCACTTAAGTGTGTTCCTCCTTGTATTAGAAATTCTGGTACCTCCTCGGGAAACTAACAATGCCGCGGCAAATCAATTGTTTAAATAATCTTTCAACGTCTAAACGGTTACACATTAAAGATCGAAAAACAGGGTTATCTTTTTTAATCGATACGGGTTCAGACGTGTCACTAATTCCTGTAAATTCTCAGCTTAAATTGAAAGCCGACCATTATGTTATTTATGCTGCGAATAATTCGCAGATAAATACATATGGTTTTAACAGGCTCAAACTTGACCTTGGGTTTAGTCGAAATTTACATTGGAATTTTTTGATTGCATCGGTACCGTACCCTATTATCGGCGCCGATTTCCTTTCTTATTTCGGGTTATCGGTTGATATAAAAAATCGCAAATTATTAGATTCAAATTCAGGCGATTACGCCATTTGTTTTTTTAAGGAAGCCAATGTCACCGACATTAGCTCAATTAATAAATCATTACCGTTTTATGACATCATTTGTAAATATTCGGATATCATTAACTTATCGAAACTAGGAACTTAAGTTAAACACGGTATTTTTCACCACATCGTTACAACAGGCCCACCTGTCTCGCAACGACCGCGTCGACTCCCTCCGGACAAGCTGACGGTAGCTAAAACTCATTTTAAAACTCTTACCGACACCGGAAAATGTCGACCTTCAAGTGCGTCTTATGCTTCGCCTATCCACATGGTCCTTAAAAGTGATGGCCAGTGGAGAGTTTGCGGCGATTATAGGCTTTTGAATACGGTAACGGTTCCGGATAAGTTCCCAATACCATTCCTTCATGATTTTGCAGTTAATTTGAACGGTAAGAAAATTTTCTCGAAGCTTGATTTGCACGCGGCGTATCATCAGATACCGGTATTTCCAGACGATGTACCGAAGACTTATTGGTCGTGAAGAAATCGAATTTCTGGGTCATTTATTAAATGAAAATGGTTTTCGACCTACAACAGAGAAAGTACGCGCCATTTCTGAATTTGGGAAGCCTCGTACGATCCACGAGCTTCGTCGTTTCCTGGGATTAGTCAATTTTTACCGGCGTAACGTCCCTCGTGCGGCTCAATTACAGCGACCTTTAAATGAATATTTACACGATACGCGCAAAAATGACAAACGCGAAATTGTTTGGACATCGGAGGCCGAACAAGCTTTTATTGCAGTCAAAGAAGCACTGGCTAAGGCTACCTTGCTCGCGTATCCATCTTCTAGCGCACCTACACGTCTCGTTACGGACGCTTCGGATCTAGGGATGGGCGCGACACTGGAACAATTTTTAAATAATTCTTGGCAAGCACTCGCGTTTTATTCCAAAAAATTTAATTCCCCTCAATCGAAATATAGCACGTATGATCGTGAATTAACGGCCATGTATGAAGCAGTCAAATATTTTCGATACTTTTTAGAGGGACATAATTTTAAAATAGTAACCGATCATAAACCGTTAATCTTCGCTTTTCAAAAGAACAGTGAAAAAGCATCTCCGAGACAGCAGAGACAACTTTCCTTTCTCTCTCAGTTCGCAACAAAAATAGAGTATCTCCCCGGAATCGATAACGTTGTCGCTGACGCATTGTCGCGATCGGACGCGATAACTTTTCCAACGGAAATAGATTTAGCAGAGCTTGCTAAAGCTCAAACTGTAGATGAGGAATTGAAATTGACTATGCAAGACGCGAATTCGTCATTGAAATTGAGAAATTTTGTTTGGGATAATTTATCCATAACTTGCGATATTTCAGGAGATAACCTTCGTCCTTATATTCCGAGTACTTTGCGAAAACGAATTTTCAATTTAATCCACAATTCTGCACATCCCGGTGGAAAAATTACGGATAGACTGATACGGAAAAAATTTGTATGGCCATTCATGAATCGCGATGTTAAAAACTGGTGCAGGTCTTGTATTCAATGCCAGCGATCAAAGGTCACGAGACACACAACAATGTTACCTTCACATTTTATCGCGCCTGACAGTCGGTTCCTTCACGTCCATATGGACATTATCGGTCCCCTGCCGGTTTGCGATGGTTTTAAGTATTGCTTGACATTGATTGATAGATTTTCTCGGTGGCCCGAGGCAATTCCGCTGAAGGATATAGAAGCCTCGACCGTCTGCCGCGCGTTTTTCGACGGTTGGATTTCGCGTTACGGGTCCCCGGAAACACTTTCGACGGATCAGGGCAGTCAATTCGAGTCACGGTTATTTAAGGCATTATTAAATCTTACGGGATGCAATCGTATTAGAACCACTCCTTATCACCCAGCAGCGAACGGGTTGATTGAGCGTTGGCACCGTACCTTAAAGGCAGCGATAATGTGCCATAATGATGCTAAATGGCTATACTCTTTGTCAACTGTGTTAATGGGCTTGCGTAATAATGTTTTGGATTCGGGGGCATCGCCGTCCGAATACTTGTACGGAACCACCCTCAGAATTCCCGGTGAATTTATATTGCCAGAGGATTTTTCTGCCGATCGACAGATATTCCTTGAAGAATTCCGAGAGCATATGAGGATGGTGAAACCAGTTCCTGTGGAACACAAACATAAAAGAAAGATTTTTTTCTATAAAGACTTGTATAAATGCTCACACGTTTTTGTTAAAATTGGGACAATTAAGAGAGCACTTGAATGCCCGTATTCAGGTCCTCATAAAATTGTCAAACGTATTTCAGATAGAGTCTTTGAGGTTGAAGTAAATGGTATTCACAAGCAGATCTCTATTGAAAATCTTAAACCAGCTTTTTTCACTGATAACGATAACATTAGTTTAAATAATAACACGAGCAATGTACAAGCTAAAATTACGCAAACTACTAATGATAAACCAAAAATTGTAAATAACGACAATACGACGACGCAGAATATTACTGCACATTTAACATCGCCTTGTCATATTAATGTTAATTTGAGACCAAATTTGCGTACTTATGTCAATAAAAAGAAAGTCTCATTTAAAAAGTAAAGTTTAAAGTTATGACTGCAAGTATTGTTGCGATATCTTTTTCTTTAAAATTTTTTCTATACCGCGTGAGTTGAAGACAAATGTTACCACGTGGGAATATTAATTTTAATTTATAACTCTAGTCATGTACATGCAATTTTTAATAATTTTTAGTTATTTAAATATTTTTGAGTACTCAATTATGAAGATAAATAGATCATCAGAACGTTGTAATCTTCAAATATGCGCATTTTACACCTTTATTACATTACACGTTCATTTTTTATTATATTACACGTTTATTTTTTATACATTTTCTATTTGACTATGTTTATATGAATTTATCTACGACTGCATAATTCAATTACCTTACTGAGTGTAAAATTTCAAATTTTTGAGAATCGTTAACACTTAGGGGGGAGTAATGTGGGGATCGTAGTTTGTAAAGTATTACCGACATGCTTTCTGTATAGAGAAAACTTCTTACTCATACGTAAAGTGAGAGAGTAGATGTGCGATGATTAATTTGTGTTCGCGCATATTTGTACAGTTGCGTACGGCACCACTTGTAGTGAGCAAGCCTTTTACACTTGCTCCAATAAATTCATTTTACCAAAATTGCCCAGTCTTTATTTTATTGAAATTATTAATTATTTGAACACGCATTAAGTTGGGATGCCTTCTGCCCTTTTATGAACATTAACAATTATTATTAATAATTAATTTTACCACAAATCCCACAGTTCGAATGTCAGTCCCGCCATCTGTCGTGACAAATGCGCGGCGATATATCAAGTAGTATATTATCATCGCTTTACACACACACGCATACATCTCACGTTAGAACTGACATCTCCAGCTTTAAACATTAATTATTCAATAAGTAAACATTAATTTGCCCTAAATATGTAATAAATAAATGCTTTAATGATTACTTTTGTTAAATTAAATATTTTTTTCTAATTTTTTCTTTTCATTATTCACTAAATATGCTATTTAAAACCCACTATATTCACTGGAAACTACTTTGTCACTTTTACATATTAATAATTTATTTATAATTGTTTAATTTACATAATATAATTCAAAAATTTAATCTACAAATGTTACTTTATTATTCCCAATAATTTATTTTATAATATTTCATTGAATAATAGCAATTTTTTAAGTCTACCCAAAACCTACCTTAAATCTTTCATAACGTGGGTAGATTTACGGTAACCTAACCCGCCAGGGTTATTTAGAAGCGTAGTTGAATTTGGCGTGTAACCGTGAACACTCGAAAAATAGTGAAACCTTAGATAAGTGAAACAACACAACTAAACTTCACACTGAACACGAACACAATTACAGATATGTATATTGGTGTATATACACAGTGGTGCCCTCTTTTCGTCACAAACTGACCGTCAAAAATTTGCAGTTACTGCCGCAAGAACATGTGTACGATCTGTTGCATCCACAAATTCTAGAATCGTATATACGTGATCTTGTGGCAGAAACTGCACGTTTTTGGCGCTTATTTTGTAGTAAAAAAAGGGCAGCACTAAATATAATAAAAAAGAAAACCTACTGAAATATTTTATAAAATAAATAGTTAAAAAAAGTCCATTTTTTTAATTTTAGTAAATAATATTGTTCTCATGTTCCGTTTTTCAAAGTTGTTAAGGTGAAATTATTGAAAAGGTTTGCGCGTAAACTACTGCGCACGTTTGAAATCATTTAAAGGAGTGAAAGAAAAGAGACGGACACAACGCGCAGCGCAGCGTTTGAAAACTCATACCAGTCATACCAAAGATAAAAGTGACACGCGCCGGGTTCGTTTGTGCATATAGTGACAAAAAATGGATTCAAGCAGCATTCAGTTTTTATTTATTCAATATTTGGATGACGATGAAACAGAGATAGTGCCTGTATCCCGCATAGATGATGAAAATTGGGATCCAAATTTGAGCAAAGAAAAATTTAACGAATTATATTCTAATAAACAACCGAAAATCGACGTGCTGTGGTATGAAGAAGCCGACAAGTATTGGATCTTAGTGGAAGCCAGAGTACATTATGTTGGAAGTAAGTCTTAATTTATACAAATTTTAATTTACTCCAAAGTACATTTATTACGTATTCTATTTAAATTTAAAAATTTTAATTAATTCTAATCGAAATAAGTCCTCATTTATTCAAAATCCATTCTTCTTAAATTCAAATTTATCCAATTAGGATATTTAATTTTTACTGTTAAATTAAAATCATTCAAATTTAAGTATCCGAACATTTATAATACAAATGCCTACAAAGTAACTTTTGTACAATGTTAAATATTGTTATTCGTATTTTATCTAGACACCAAAAGCGAAGTTCAATCACAAATCACAAATAAACGTTTCTGAAAACGTACACAAAAAATGTTGGAATCATTGGATTCTGAAAATATTCAAGAGAAAAAGAGAAAAGAAGAAAAATCTTTAAAAGTGGAGACATCAAAGCAAGCTACAAATAAAAAAATATTACAAACAAATGATGAACAATCCCAGGTAATTTGAATGTTGATCAATGTATACAAAACTTCAAAAGTAATAAAAGTGATAAATTTTATTAAACAATAATAGTTGAATTTAAAATGCGTCACGATTCTACAAGCAATGAAGATTCTCCTGACAACAACACTGAACCCCAACCACGCCAGCCACCAAATGCTCAAAGGAGAGATAACCTTCAAAATGCCAATGTGCACGCACGAGTGCTATTCTCGCGAGACGGACATCGTGCGACGCACGTTTGTTTTCTGGGCAAAATTTTTCCCTACTTAAATTTTATAAATATATTTTAACATTTATAGGTTAGACAAATGAGAGACTGGTCAGAAATACTGCAAAAAAAGTAGGCCTTTAAAGATTAAGAAAATCAGATAAAATCTGCATGTTGCATTTTAAAGAGGATGAAATTGAGAGAGTAAACTATTTTTGTCCTACCTGCACAGAAAGTATGTCATTTCGGGCACTTAGAGCGGGCGCAAAGTAACTTATTCCCACCATGGGGAAGGGGAAGCGGGCGCAAAATATTTTGCGCCCGCTTCCTCTACTCTATTCGTTCGTATTAAAATTCATATATAATTTAGTTATATTTTTTAACTTTCTGTCAATATATTTATAGTTTGGTGCGGTCAAAAAATGTCATGTTTTTTTTATTCATTTGTTTCATTTAATTAAATACTTTGGTAGTTTTATTTCGAAATCTGACGATTAGTTATTACATAAATATTTATTAAACAAATTCAATACATGCATTGGGTGCTCCCTCCATACAAAACGTATGAATTTTTAATTCATTTTTTGAAACTTTGAAACGGTCAAAATTAATGAAATTAGTCTCATTATGTAGATAAACACTTCAGGAATAAGTATGCAAAATTTGAAAAAAATCTGACGAAAACAATTTTACGCGACTACCCAGTAAGAAGTAAGGAATTGAGAAAAATTGAACATTTTTAACTTTTTACAGAAAATGTTAAATTATCAATTTTTTTGAATTCCGTTTCTGTCCAATTTCTATGTATTCATTTTTGAGGCAAAGATTTCTTGAAAGTGAATTCCAATTAATTCCGTTTTAATATTTCTTTAAATTTTGAATTTTTGTGAATTCCGAAATACTGTGTGATACTTGGTAAGTTCAATTCCTGGCTATTCCGTTTTAATATTTTGTAATTTTTTAATTTCTCTGAAGTTTGCAACACTTTGAGATAAGTGCTTCTAAAATTCGGTAGTCATAGTACAGTTTAAGTAGCTGAGCAGACAAGCTGTTTGTTTCCGACAATGAAACTTGAGGGTTCAAATCTTCGAACCGATAAATTTTTTTTCCGCTTAAAATATTAAAACGGTATTCAAAAGAATAAACTTAGTTTTTTTTCGGCTTCTCAAAATGAAATTGAAAAGAATTGGTCAGAAACGAAATTCAAAAGAATTAAAAATTTCGAATTCTTATTAATTCCTCACTTCTTACTGGGTAATATCTTAAAGAATAAGATTTTTAATATTTACAGTATTAAATTGGTTATGTCTTAGCCTATTTGACTCTAAATTTATTGAACTTTAAAATGATCCTAGTTTAATAGCTCTAACATCTATTTTTACAGAAATATTTGAATTTGAAGTGAAGCGAGCATTTAAAAGTAATCAGTACAAATGTACTGAAACTTTTTGACCCCAGTGTAACGAAATTGATGCAGTGAATTCAAAGTTAATGAAAACCAATAATTTTTAAGGCGATATCGTAAATGCTATTAATAATAAACAAAAAATTTTCAAACACTTAAGCAGTTTGTGGATTCCAAATATAAATGACGGAGAGTGCATATCATGGTGTTTTTGGAATGAGGATTACTCGCATTGCTTAACAAGAATAATCACTTACATTCGTTACCAAATCTATAAAAGATTTGGTAACGAATGTAAGTGATTTTACTAGATACTAATATAATATTTTTCAATAATAATTAAATTATTAATTAACTTTAATATTTCTTTGAAATAAGGCAAATAAAACGAAAATATTTGGACAATAAATAAAAATATTTATTTACTCTTTTAACTTTTTATAAATGAAAAATAAAAGCACAAAACCTTACGTTCAATTTTTTTCATAAAATACATGTATTAAACTAAAAGTGGTGTGAATTTCAATAAAAAAATATAAATAATTAATTACTCAGGAATTTTTTGAAAAATAAGCTAACTCCCCCCTTTGAAGCTAGGTCGGATTTTTTTTGGAAAAGTTTTGTGAAAACAAATTAAATCAAATGCCCTTTACACGAAATCGATGAAGTGAAAATTAGCCTAGTTATTCCAATTTATTGTTTATGTCAAAAAAACATAGGGGAGACTGGGGTAAACCCGCTCACAGGGTAAACCCGCTCACTAGCGATTTTACGCTATGAACTCAACTTAAGATGGAGATATTGGTACTGTGAATAGTACTTAACATTCAACTTATATTAACGAACTTTTGTTTAGTTTCATGAATTCAACACAGAATCAGAGACGATCAAATGTTTTTAGAGGTGTCAGAAAAAAAAACATATTTTGGATTTTTAAGTTTTTCGATCATTATTTTTGAGTCTTAATTTATCTGGGAAATTTTTTTTGTTGCTATTGGATGTCCTTCATAGAAGTACATATATAGTTTTGTCTTATTTTAAAAAGATTTAATTAAATTTATTCTGAAATGTGAGGAATACACTCGGGGTAAAGTCGCTCACGTGAAGTCGGGGTAAAGCCGCTCACTTAGTTTTAAATTTAAAATTTAGAATAAAATAATTTCACGTATTATATTTCAACAATAACACAATTTATGACTTATTAAAACCAAAATTGTAACTACATTTCACTTTCTCTTAATAAAATATAACACTATTTAAATCCATAGTTGTAATTCATGAAATCTATGTTCATTATTTATTAAACCAATTTTTTGTTTATAGAATTGTTTATATAACTCATAAATTATCAATAATAAATCATACTTAAGACGGGAATAAGACGAACTTTAATATTTAAAAAATAAAACTGTTCCGTCTTGAAAAGATAAAGTGAGCGGGTTTACCCTGGAAAATTGTGATTTCGAAATTTGGTATATGTTTATTAAAAAGTTTCTCTAAGTAAAACTAAAAAAAATAAATCAAAAACTATTTTTTATTTTTTTAGTAGAAATCAAAAGCTTTCAAATGATATAAATTAACTTGGATTTAGAGAATAATTTCCTAGATTTTATCCGATCTGAAAAAAAGTGAGCGGGTTTACCCCAGCCTCCCCTACCCTTTTTTAACCCATTAACGCCTGAATCCTTTGAAATTTTGTGTTTAATTTAAGATATAATTTTATATATTAAACATGCTCCCTAAAAATAACTGAAGCGTTTCTTTATGTTTTCGGGGTCGCTCTACAAGATTCCATGCTCAGATTTTAAATTTATCGTATAGAAAATTAAATATGGCGAATTTTGTGCACCAAATTGCGAAAAAAATGAAATTTTTTTTTTAAAAATAATTATTTCTTACTGAAAACATTTTTTTCAAATGAATACAAGTGTCACAAATTGGCACAAACTTATTAAACTTTCAAAATATGCAATAGCGGAAACAAAAAAAACAAAATGGCGGCTTCAAAATGGCGCTAATTTGAGAAAAAATTAATTAATTTTTTTATAGTGCACCGATTCAGGCAATAGCTATGAAATGTAATAAAACTTAGTGTTTATATGTTTTTGAGGTCTCTCATCACGAATATGTACTCGGATTTTCAAAATTCAAAATGGCGGATCCAATATGGCCGACGAACATTGTAAAAATTCACTCTATTCGCTTGAACTTTGTTACTCAGGGGTTTTTGGGGTCGCTGATTATGAATCTGCTATTGGATTTTCATAATACAAAATGGCGGATCCAATATGGCCGACAAAAATTATTTAAATTTACTAGATTCGCTTGAAACTTGTTACTCAGGGGTTTTTAGGGTCGCTGATTATGAATCTGCTATTGGATTTTCAAAATACAAAATGGCGGATCCGATATGGCCGATAAAAATTGTTTAAATCAATTCTAGTCGCTTGGAATTTGTAAAATGATGACCATCTATTTGCCGTCAGAATAAGACGTTTACCAACTCTCTAAATTATTCTAATGATATTAAAGCTAAAAATCGATAATATTAGTCAATTACTCCTTATCTGTCATCTCAAATTGTTTCATTAACAATGTCAGGTTATAAGTTTTGCAATATTAAGTCTTATGCTAAGATAGTGTTGAAACAATTTATCTAAGCCAATTAGATTTAGACCTACAATTTTTTCGTTGTGTACTTCTGAGGGATTTGATTTGTATTCTGCCTTATTCTGACGGCAAATAGATGGTCATCATTTTACAAATTCCAAGCGACTAGAATTGATTTAAACAATTTTTATCGGCTATTTTGGATCCGCCATTTTGTATTTTGAAAATCCAATAGCAGATTCATAATCAGCGACCCCAAAAACCCCTGAGTAACAAAGTTCAAGCGAATAGAGTGAATTTTTACAATGTTCGTCGGCCATATTGGATCCGCCATTTTGAATTTTGAAAATCCGATTGCCGATTCACAATCAGCGACCTCAAAAACCCCTGAGTAACAAAATTCAAGCGAATCGAGTAAATTTTTAAAATTTTCGTCGGCCATATTGGATCCGCCATTTTGAATTTTGAAAATCCGAGTACATATTCGTGATGAGAGACCTCAAAAACATATAAACACTAAGTTTTATTACATTTCATAGCTATTGCCTGAATCGGTGCACTATAAAAAAATTAATTAATTTTTTCTCAAATTAGCGCCATTTTGAAGCCGCCATTTTGTTTTTTTTGTTTCCGCTATTGCATATTTTGAAAGTTTAATAAGTTTGTGCCAATTTGTGACACTTGTATTCATTTGCAAAAAATGTTTTCAGTAAGAAATAATTATTTAAAAAAAAAAATTTCATTTTTTTCGCAATTTGGTGCACAAAATTCGCCATATTTAATATTCTATGCGATAAATTTAAAATCTGAGCATGGAATCTTGTAGAGCGACCCCGAAACATAAAGAAACGCTTCAGTTATTTTTAGGGAGCATGTTTAATATATAAAATTATATCTTAAATTAAACACAAAATTTCAAAGGTTTCAGGCGTTAATGGGTTAACGTCTATTATTATGCACTTAAATAAAAAAATCAATTTTCCATTTAAATGGAATTAAAGTTCGACTCTTTAACTGTACTCTCAAAGAAGAGAAGACGAAATTCGC